TTGCAGCGGAAACACAAGAGCAAACCCTAAAAATTAGGGCACATAGCAGAACACAGAAACCCTGTGAGTACGGCAATAGGTACGACATAACACAGAAAAAATAAGGCACATAGCAGAACACAGAAATCCTGTGAGCACGGCAATAGATAAGGCAGAACACAGAAACCATGTGAGCACTGTAGTAAATAAGGCAGAATACAGAAATCCTGTGAGCACAGCAGCATATAAGGCAGAACACAAAAACTCTGTGAGCGCTACAGCAGATAAGGTAGAACACAGAAACCTTGTGAGCACGGCAGCAGATAAGGCAAAACACAGAAGCCCTGTGAGCACGACAATAAATAGGCAGAACACAGAAACCCTGTGAGCACGGCAGTAGGTAAGGTAGAACACAGAAGCCCTGTGAGCACGGTAGTAGATAAGGCAGAACACAAAAGCCCTGTGAGCACGACAGTAGATAAGGCAGAACACAGACACGATGGTAGCAAGGTATGAGGCAACACGATAGAAAGATAGATAGCGGCGGGGGACTAGGATTATAGGCTATGTGTATAGTGCAACAGAAATAGGTAGTGTTTAGGGTTAAGGTAGAGACGAATCTGAACACAGCAACATCAACGGTGACAGTAACGGCAACCGCAACAATAAATTATTCCATATAAACTTGAGTTAATTAACGTAGACACAACTTCTCTTCACTCTTCCTCTCCCCCTGAAGAGAAGGGGTCGTCAGAGTCAAGAAATAAGTAACATCTTCGAGGGTATACATCAAAGTAATGGGGATACATCAATAAACATATCCCTTTCACTCCCCCTCCCCCTCTGAAAATGAGGGGAGGAGAGCACTTAAATTTCAAGAAGAACGCAAACACAGGTCACAAGAGAACCTGACTCTGATACCAAGTCAAACAAAGTAGGGGAAAAAATTCAGATATTCTCATATTATTATTCTTCTCCAATATGGAGGTATTTATACAAGTACAAAGATGTGTTAACCCTAAATAAAATAGGAAATATATCTAAATTTCAATAGAAAATAAATATAAATTATAATATGAAATAAATCTCAATTATAATATGACTAGATAAATGATAAGTAACTAAAATCCTAACATAGTAAGGAACCAAAATCCTAACTAAGTAAAGACTCGCCAATACCTTCTTATATAAACATTGCATATGGAACCGCGAATGACATACCTATTCGTACATTCTCAACAGCTCCCTTGCCTTTCCTTTGTTAATTCAATATTTGTCTAGCTTGCGAATCCTTATCTTGATAGGAGATTACCTGCTATTCCTAACAAAGGCGACGAATATCGTGACTATTGGGATAACATATTCATATGCCTCTATCAATATATTCCATTACACCCGACAAAGTTCTTACTACATGCAATAGTACAGTAGGAAGTGCATTAAAACACGAGTTTCAGCGGTCCTAGTTGAGCTAGGAGTTTTAGGCGTTAAGTTTTTTCCTTCGGGAAGTCATTCCAAGCAAGAAAGCGAATCATGGAGGAAAGCAAGTCAATCAAACGGTAGCAAGCGAGTTCCCTCCCATCGGTTCTAGTTTGTTTTCTTGTCTCTTGTGCAAGACTAGTTGCACATAGCACTAACATGCTCGGGCTCCTGTCTGTGATATAATGGTTTCATGCTCTTCCCTCGCTTTGCCTTATCCAGTTGGAGATTTCTGATACCTTATATATGTCTTTTGATGTGGGTTTGAAAAAATGTTTAGATTGAAATGTTCGTTGCTGAAGGAAAAAGTAATTGAGGATGGAATATGTAACATTTCAAACGTTTTTCGTAAGGCGAGGTAGTCAGTGCAGGTAGGCGAGGGCAGGTCTACAATTTAAGGGTGTATATACTATTTCCTTTTGTCGTTGTAGCAATCTTTCTTAGTGCACCCTTAGGCGAGTAAAGAGAGAATGCTTGGTAGCATGACAATCGGAGTTCAGTAGGCAGGCTATTAGTTCAGTAGGCAGGCTATTAGCACGCATGCCAAGAATAACTATCTAATGAAAGCCAGTAGTAAACCAGTCAGCTAGTTGAAGTTAGAAAGTTCAGAAGTAGCTGCGCTCTCCTAGCTACACATTCATGGTCTATATAGTATGCAACACTGTCTTTTCTTGTTGATGGTGAGTGAAAAAGATGAATCTTTATACCCTTATTTTTATGTGCAAAAAAAAAACCATATTTTTGTTTGGTATGAGCCCATTTTCGATTGAGAGCCTAATTACCTCAACTTATATTCCAATTTAGAGGACCTGCCTCATCTTAGAAGTTAGAAGTGTCTTTTTGCCTTTCACTTTTCTCTAGTATTGTGAAAGAAGAAACTCTTAGAGTAAATGCCTTTTTAGAAATTGAATCAACTCCTGGTGATGAAGAAGAAGAATGAGTTGTGAGGAAGGGAATGATTGCAGTAGTCCTACACCCACGGACTGAAGGAATAGAATACGCTCTTTGAAGGACATTAATCAATAGGAGAAGATAGCCATGCACAGAAGTAGTTGCAATTGCTATTTCATTCCATCTGCTCTGATCGTTAACGCTCTTATTCCAATAGGAGTGATTTTTTACCTTAACACTATGAAAGTTTCTGATCCTTGAGTAGCCTTAGTCATAATCCACAATTAGGGAGTGAAGTGAACCATGGATGGTGTGATAAGTTGTGAAAGAATTGATTTAGAACGTATCCTTTGTTTTAACCATATTCGTTGCGCTCCTCCTTTCTTCCTAGATGCTTTGAATTTCCCTATATCGTCATATTCAACAATTTTGCTTTCCAACCGGAGAGTCTTCCTTGCATTTTCTATAATAAATCTACATAAGTTCTCTGAGAAACCCTTTCATGAATTAGTGGCAAGACAAGATACTTTCCTAAGTTCTTTGTGACAGGAATCCCTACAATTAACTTGACTTAAGGCCATCTCCAAACTCATCTCTAGCCATAGGCTAAACAAAATTTTGGCCAAAATTAGAGGGCCACATTTGGTCTTTTAGCCCTCCACCTGGGCCACATGTAGCCCAGCTTTGGCCTAGGCCAAATTTTTTCTGGGTCCCATGCAATTTAAATGTTTTCAAGTCATGTTGTTTAAGATGAAAAGTATTGGTGATGACCGTTGCAGGTCAGACCATTGAAAACCAATATTTTATTTATTTATTTTTAATTTTTATAAATGTGGTCACCTTTTTAAATGTCAATTCATGTAATCAAGAAAAAATTATTGGTCATGACCGTTGGAGGTCAGACCATTGAAACCCATCCGTTTTTATTTTATTTTATTTTTAAATTTACATGTGGTCATCTTTTTAAATGTTTTCAAGTGTTGTTTAAAAAAAATTATAATTAAATTAAACAATATATAGTTGTAGAATGTATGAGTATTGTATCATAGTTTTTCTCAAAATAATAAAATATGAAGGACCCTAAAATATAGCCTTGCATGGCTGGAGATGGACAAATTTAGCCATGCACTATTCTTTAAAAATTTAATATTTTGGAGGACTAAATTTTTAGCCATATACTACATTTAGCCCTATGACTAGAGATGGCCTAGCACATCTCAAGAGGTGTTTAGAGACAAAAATACATGGGAATCTTTGGGCATCTCACCTTGTAAGCCTCATACATTTCTGTTTAAAGAGTATGGTCTGTTTGGAAACTTTCTTGTTTTATTTTACTAAGATAGACAAGAAAATGGATAAAAATATGAGAAAAGAGATTATAGAAGTTAGGGAACATAACATAAATCACATTGGTTTGTAATATAAAAACCTGCTTTTAAAAGACAATTTCAAACAAATTTTAGTTTCAGCTTTATTTATGCCCTTTCCTCTCTCTCCTAAAGCTAGACTGAGATAATAAGACTGATGAAGTAAACAAAATTACAATCTTCTTTATTTAGTTTCAGCTCATTGTGAAGGCAATTGAAACTAAAAGCAATTGCAATCTTCTTCGCTAATTGGGTGTTCTATGCTATATGTCCTTTTTGTTTTTAAGTACTTACACTTCCTTTTATTTTTTAAGTACTTTGCAATTGCAATATACTTTTCCACACTAGCACAAATGAATTTTAGGGTAAACAGTTGTTATATTGTGCCATGTAGTTGAGCCAACTAATTTTGCCAATTGGGCACTGCATGCTTGGAAAAAACTTGAGGATAAAAGTAAAGAAAAGAGGCCTACCTATGTTCTTTCTCTTGTCTTTGTTTGTGTAGTCCAATATTGGCAACGGCCCAAGTTGACTTTACAAGTCCATGTTCTAAATTAATTTCTGTTATAAAGTTAAAAGTCCTAACCTACATTAGTCTCATAGATTTCACTAAAAATTAGGGTTATTTATTTTATTAGTCCTGAACTTATATCCGATTTGTATTTGAGTCCCTCAATATCCAAATTTGTTCCCGTGGTCCTTCAACTTCAGTTTCGTTAGGACAAATGGTCATGCCGTTAATTTTGTTAACTTTTCTGTTAAATGCAGAGTCAAAATGGTAGTTTTATATTTTTAAATTTTAAATTGATTAAAAATGAATAAAATATTCTTAAATTAAAAAAATTTAAAAAAATTCAAGTTTTTAAAAATAAGAACTAATTTTTAATTTTTAGTTTGACTGAAGAGGAATAAGATTTTTTAATTTTTAGTTTCTAATTTTTAATTTTATTTTTTGGGTGAAAGGAATATTGAGAAATTAAAAATTAAAAATAATACAAAATATTATTTTACCCCTACATTTAACAGAAAAAGTTAACAAAATTGATGGTAGGACCATTTGTCCTAACAAAATTAAAGTTGAAGGACCACGAAAACGATTTTGGAAATTAAGGGACTCAAATGCAAATCGGGTATAAGTTCAGGGACTAATAAAATGAATAACCACTAAAAATTATTATGAAAAAAATGTCTCTGAAAAAAAAAAAAAACTATATGGTACCTGATTAAAAAATATTCCTCTAGTACAAAATAAACTAAAAAAATCTATATGGTGCAACCTGATAAAAGAATTTTCCAAACATGGGCACAAGCCTAGAACCTTGTACTTGGTCGGTCAGGTCCCGAAGTAGGTGGCACGACGTGGTAAAGCTAAACTTCACCCTGTTTTCCCAAAACTCACAAAAGACAGAGCCAGACAGATAGAAACCGATCTCCATGGCAGCTTCGAAGGTCCAAGCTTTCTGGAACCACCCAGCAGGCCCTAAAACCAGTTCGTTATCTTCATTTTTCATTTTATGTTTTCCTTAAACATTCTATAATTGTTCTTATACGGTTTTGAGAATTTTGAACTTTATTATACTGTATTAGATTCGATCCCTCTAAAGATTGAATTTTGGCATCTGGGTTTTGGCTAATCCCTGCAGACAATCAGGTTTTGACAATGGAATAAGCAATTTTTTTATTTTCTATTGATTAAAATATGCAGAGATGATCAATTTTGATGCACTTCATTTTGGTTACAGAACCAGCCAGGAATTTAGGGGGCAACACTAGAAAATGTAGAAAATTTTAATCTAAAATTTCTATTCAATTGCAATTACACACAAAATCTTCAGTGCATGATGAATTCATCCATTGATTTTCCATTTAATTGTGCAATCATTCTTTAATCATGTTTGCTGTAGAAAACGCCACCTCTATACTGACAGGCGTAACTGTCAGGATTGGTGTTAATTTGATGAGTAAGAAAAATAGTGGATCTAACTTGTTGGCCTAATGCCTAAAACATTTTTGTACAAGATAAATAATTTCTTCCATCTCAAGAACTCTAGTCTCAGCTCTAAACCAACAATACAATGTGTCTGAACCATGATAATTAGGTGTTTAGGTGGGGCTATTGAGTTGCTTTGTGTCGTGCCGGAACCTGCCATGTTATTTTAGTGACTCGTAGATTAAGAGTGTTTTCATGATAATGCAGTTCACTTTTGGGCTCCAACTTTTAAATGGGGCATTAGCATAGCAAATATTGCTGATTTCTCAAAGCCACCTGAAAATATCTCTTATCCTCAGCAAATAGGTATGCACCTTTTGGGAAAACAGGTTTTCAGCTGTCTATGTGATCTATGTTTAGAATTATGGTATATATCATACCTGAAATATTGTTTTGCAGCTGTTACGTGCACTGGGCTTATTTGGTCTCGTTACAGTATGGTGATTACTCCGGTATGTTTGTTTTCTAGCTCTGAAAGATGTTAGAGTCCAACACTTATTGCTTTTGTAAGTTTTCATTGTTTTAGATTTTTTTTATTAAAAAAACAAACTGACTATAAAGTAGTTCCAACAAACTTATAATAGTTACATCATAAAGCTGTAAAACCTGCTACACGACCACTAACGTCACAAAATTATCATCTTTGTGCATTGTAAGGCCATGATGAAGAAAAAGAGGATTTAATCTTGTCCAAATAGCTAGTTACCTATAAGTGCACTTTCTTCTCTCTGGAGGAGAATCTGTTAGACCCTTCCAATCTGCATTGTGTATTCTAGCTGCTTCATTTACTGCATGAAGTATTTGCTCCTCAATTTTGCATATGTGCTCAATCCAGAAAAGTTAAGCACATTGTCTTAAAGCTCTGTATTGGCAAGTCCACCAGCCAATTCGAGTCTATTTCCAACTTCTAGCAGCTACTCATCAACCAGTCTTTGATGGACACTGCACCTAGGAAACAGGTGCCCTTGATTTTCCATCATATTATGATGGAAGACACATAGCAGCTGCTCATTGAGCAAGTCTCTCTTTTTATATAGCCTGTTTTTTATTGTGTTGGATTTTAGGAAGAGGATTTCTGGGAATTGTTTTTTATTGGGCTCATATATACTACCTTAACACTTATTCTGCACACTTCATTTTTAATTGATGGTGTCTGGACCTTTCTGTGCATTTCTTTTGCCTTCTAACAGTGCTGCTTGGCTGGTTAATTTTTTCAACATACTTTATTGAAGCTGGTTGAATTACATAATGACTGACCTATATAATTACACAAGAAGTAGTGCTTTTGTCTGGTTGATTGGCTGTATATAACTATTTCAGTTCTATATGATTTGCCACATGGTGGCCTTCGTAATTGCATCAGATAAATGTTTGTGCTACTTAAGAAAAATTATTCTTTGATACTTCCGAAAAACTTACTTGCAGCTTATTGCGAAGCTCTCATGAGATTATTCTGAAATTGCAGAAAAACTGGAATCTTTTTAGTGTTAATGTTGCAATGGCTGGGACAGGCTTGACTCAATTGTCACGCAAAATAACGTAAGTTGGAATCCAGTATATACTCATATGTTCAATATACGATTTGGGAATTAAGTGTTCATCTTTGGTGCAAAGTAGCAATTTATTGTTTTGGATGGATAAAGATGGTTTTGTTGAAAAGTATCAAAACATGCGCACAAGTTTATTGACAGGTTAAGTTTGACTTTTTTTTTCCCTTTCGTGCTTTTAATCACCTTCCAGGCATGACTACTTTTCCGACACAGATGCAGCTGTACAAAAAGAATGATCACAAACCTTTCCGTATGTACATTGAGCTCGTGATGCTAGCTTCTCTGTCTCTTGATTAATTTTCCCCGAGAACTGCAATGTGAAGTACACCAAGAAATCAGGCGTTTTTGTTGTTGTTGTTGTACTTTTGGTCTTATTAGCTTGTAATTTAAGTTTTTGAGTGTTTTCAATTGACTACTCGTGCACGTTGCTTTGTGCTTAAATTGAGAAAACCCCACATTCTTTTATCTTTGGAGCAACTTGAGAGACACTCCTGAGCTTGAACTTCTGGTGGATTTGCCATTGGATACAAGAATGTTGATTGGAGAATTGACTCAAGGTCCATAAGTTTGGGGATCTCTAAGATCACTTTTCCTGTACATTGCTGTTTTTCTTTATAAGAATTGATTTACAATAATGAGTATGGTGTTTTTGTTTTACTAAAGTCATCATGTTCATGTGGATTTCCAGTCTTGGTTGAATGTAGATATATAGGCATTCATAACACCAGGGAAAGGAACAACTGGGGGGTGTATTCAATTGTGATTTTAATAGATTGTTTTGAAGCTTAAAAGTATAGTGGTATCAATTAGGATTTTTAAGTAATCAATAAAAATCTGGTGGTCTTCAATTAGGGATTTTTAAATAATCAATACAAGTCCGATTATATTCAATTATGACTTTTAAAAGATAAGAAAAAATACAGTGGTATTTAAAAACTTACTAATTTTGAGGTATTTTATTAAATGTATTGTGTAAGACTTTTGAGTATGTGATTTAAATACCAAATCACATAACAAATCTCATCAATTCTCATATATGCTCTCATACTTTTTTTTCCCCATTATTTTTGTATGCTTTCGACTGTACATAAAAAAACACTTTTCATAAGAGAGATGATAAAGAATAAGAAAGACGATATTGCCTCTTATGGAGCTAATGTGCATTTTCCAATAGCTCTTCTTTCCTTGTAGACAAGCTTATTTGGAGCAAAATTATATTTTCAATACTTTTTTTTTTTTTTAGAATCTCCTGCACATTGTAGACATTTCCTCGCAAGGAGTTGCAGCCCTCCACAACTCTGTCGGTGTGCCCACAAGTTGCTTGATCTAAAGCCTCAAAGAGGCTTTTTATTTTATTTTTATGCGTAGCTGCTGCGCATACAGCGCACATCGCTAAATATTTTTTTTTCTAATTTCCTGTCCCAAAACATTTGGGACCATGACAAAACAAAAAAAGAAAAAAGAAGCCTTACCCACAATCTAGAAGAAATGTTGATATGGTGCAAGGTGTTTTTTTCACTCCACAATTTTGGTCCAAGCTTTGACAACAACTAGGAGTAGTGATGGGGTTGGGCTAGGAGTTTTCAGTATGTTTCTTTATTTGTATTTCTGGTGTTGTCTATTTTGCAATAGGTGTTGGTGATTTTGGATGTAGCTTCTAGCATTTGCTTATGCTTTTGTATTTCTATTGTTGGTTTCTCAATTGTGTTATGTTTCTTTAACGTATTCATTCTGGCTATTTTTGACTATGTTGGGAGTTACCTTGTTGATGTCGGTGTACTCTTTCTGGCTAACCTTTGATGGTTAATGTGCCTCCATTTTTGTATTAACCCTAAAAATTGGGTATATTCCTTCAGGTTATGTATTTAGGTGAATGATGATGGGTGATAGAGTTCAAGCTTGTATAGAAATATAAGTAAAATCATGTAATTGCAATCTATTAAAATCCTAAGTAAATTAAAATCATAAGTGAAATCATGTAATTGCAATCTATTAAAATCATAGTAAATTTAGGTTTAAGCCAAAAAAAAAATTTCACTTTTGGAAAAAGCCAAATTTTTTTCAAAAAAGACAGAAAAACCTCTCAATTTTCAAATCGAAGACATGCAAATGTATAGGATTTCTTAGGAAATCCAAAAATAAATAAGGGCAATTTTGTCCATTTTGGCTTCTTTTACAAAATTTCTCTCTCCTTTGTGTTTTTTCAAAGTCAAGTAAAATCATATAATTACAAATCCGGCTGAAATTCATTACATTAAAATCATGTAATTACAATCTATTAAAATCTCAATTGAATACACCCCTAAGATAAATGAATTTATGTTGTGTTTTATCCAATTATATGTATAAGATAAATATGATTTCTCTGCTGGCTTTCACATTGCTTGACCTTTTTTTTTTTGTCGGTCTGAAAGCTTGACTTTTCATTTGAGCTTTGCAATGGCTATTTTGTATCACACTATCAATGCTTTTATTATTAAACCTGATGTGAAGCTATATATTCTTGGATTTGTGACAAGGTAAATCAATGGTAAGATAAATAGAAAATTTTCTTTCCCATTTTCTTTCCTTTTAAACTTCTAACAAATTAATCAAACTTATCTACAAAATTCCTCTGTTATCTACAAAATTTATTGTGGAGAACATGGCAAGGGGAACTTTCCCAATAGCTTAGGAGATATACAAATTACAACAAAGGTACTTAGTATAAGATATAAGTAAAACCATAACGATAATATAGACGAAATATTGATGATATTATCGTTTTTTCAGGTCATATTTTAAAATATGGACACATATCGTATAAATATCGATAATATCGAAAAATATCGACATTGATAATTTCTCTCACACTTCAGCAATATTTGGTCAAAATATCGCTATAATATCGATAATATCAAGATGACGAAGACAATGAAAAATTTGAAGAGTTATTTACACTAACATCCCTTGAGGTTTCTTGTATTTTCAAAAAACCCCCTCAAGTCTCAAAAATTTCACGAACACCCTCTAAGGTTTCAGTTTGTTTTCACAAATGGTCATGCTAGAGAGACCAATTTTAGATACCAACTTGTATACTATCTCTCTAATAGAGGTGGAGCCCACCAATACAATGGATCCTGCGCTCTATTAGAGAGATGGTACACAAGTTGGTATCTAAAGTTGGCCCTTTTCGTTGATTGTTTGCCCAAAAATTGATGATTTTATTGATAAAAAAAACCTTATACAAATGACAAAATTAACCTCAATGAAATATATGATTTCCGTATGTTCTTTTTAAAGTAAGAAGTTTACCACAAATATATCCATGGATCAGGATCTTATAACCATTCATATCAAACATAATTTTGTGGTAGACAGAAAAATTTCAAATCAAATACAAGTGTGGTCATAACTATGTTCTAAACGAGCTAAGTTAGTAGTTATTTTATAAGCCGTGAGAAGAAAAAAAAAAATTAGAGCAGCAGAGTCTCTGAGTCTGCCTCTGAGTTGTTGGAATCTTCGATGGGAAGGTAAGTCTTCCGACCAGTGGCTTTAATTCTTCAAAGCTTGACCTTTATTTCTTCATATCAATCTTGTTAAATGTTTTTTTAAAACAAAAACAAAACCTCAACGATAAATTAAACCACTTTGAAATTTGTGGGTCTTCTTCTATGTACACTGAACAGAAAGAAAAAGTATAATAAGGTTAAGAAGGAGCAGGTGTTGTTGTGCTGGAGCTTTCCCCACCATGGCTGGTACAAGCTCAACGTGGATGGGAGCTACCGCAGTGGATCTGGGTGCATTGCAGGAGGTGGTGTGATCAGAAATCAAGAAGGAGAATGGTTATCTGGGTTTGCTGCAAATTTGGGAACGGGCAAAGTTATTGAGGCAGAGGTTTGGGCCTTATACAGAGGCTTGGAGCTTGCTTGGAAATCTGGGTTGGCCCCACTTGAGGTGGAAACTGACTCAACCACTGTTTTGAAGCTTATGCATAACCCAGTTGAGGTGAATTGGAAACACCCTCATTTTAACTTGATCAAGAGCTGCCAGAATCTCCTTAACCAAAGCTGGATATGTTCTCTGAATCATGCATATTGGCAGCAAAACAGTGTAGCTGATTGTCTAGCTAATTTTGGGTTGACTATGGAGCGGGGGTGCCATTATTTTGATGTTCCTCCACCTCTCTGTGAGCCTTTTTTAGTTCAGGATATCTCTAGGGTTGCTCAACCAAGGTTTCTTCCTCCCTCTGTCATAGAATACAGGTGTGTTGTGCTTGTGGGTTGCTGACTTGTGTTTTTGGGCCTTGGTCACTATGTAACCAAAACAAACAAAATAAGTTATGGGTCTTCTATACTAGTTTATTTTGTGTGATGTTTGGTGTGATTGTGGCATGCTATTTTCTTATTTGTGGGTTTTGGGTTTGTACTTTGTAGAAAAATAAAGAAATTGGAGGAAGTGGATATTCACATGGAAGATCTTGCATCTGTTATATTCACATGGAAAGTTGACAACTTCTCTAAGTTGGATGCTGTCAAGCATTACTCCGATATCTTCGTCATCGGTGTTTTTGAATGGTATTGTTTGAGTATCTCCTACCATTCACAAGCTAATATATTTCTTTACATTGTGATATGTTCTGGTTTTTTACCTGCCTTGTTTGGTTTGGTCAGGCGAATCCTTATGTATCCAAGGGGGAACAATGTAGACTACTTGTCGGTTTATCTGGATGTTGCAGGTTCTTCAACATTGCCATTAGGGTGGGCTAGACATGTGCGATTCAGCTTGACCATCGTTAATCAACTTCAAAGCAGCGAGTCTTTAACAAAGGGTACTTTGTTTTATGTTCCTGTTGCCTATTCACATTTATCTTCGTTTTTGTCTGTTTCCATGTTATTTTATAACTTCTAGGGAAAAGCTAATTTATTACAGGGAACTGGTGCTTGTTGCGTCCTGTTATGGATGTCTTGGTTTGATTCTGTCTCGCACTTACTGCAAATGTTATGTTTATGATTACGAATCGATACCTTACTGGCGTCTCTATACTTAAATTTTTTACCGCACAAGATACTGAAAGTGGATAAAGGAAAGGAAATATGCAAATTTGTTTATTTAAGAATGAGCACTTATTTAAGGATGACAGTTTAATTTCCTATTTAAGGTATAGAACAAACAAAATCTTATAGGCATTGATTTGGGTAATCTGGCCCCAAATGTCAGCTGAATTATGTACCTTAGGTTCGCTATATAAAACTTTCTTTTTGGAATATAAATATGTGTGTGTATTTATTAAATAAGTAAAATAAATGTTGAAATATAATCCTGTTCTGCCTGATTTCTTAGAGCAGAAGTCATTTTCTATTTTCTGTTCTGTCTATTTTAAATGATGTAATGAGAACCATTAGATCATAGTCTAGGTGGATTCTCTAGCTTAGATTTGGTATGACACGTGTAAGCACCTAATAGGGTGACAGTTGTAATTCTGTTAGAAGAGAATCACATTTCTCTCTCTGTCAGACACACTATGTAAGCTGCAGATTGTAAGAATTCAATAGAACAGTGCCTTCCTCATTTCTCTTCATTCTCTCTAGCT